TGTCCCATGTGATTTGCAAGCTTAAAATAGTTCTGAAAGTAACTACAGGCAAAATACACATCCCACAAGCTTTGCTATTTACTTAGTGCTTGTACTTGCAGGAAAGCCAGGCTTCCCAGTACACCTGCGGTGTGCTGGGACTTGTGTCTCCGAGGAGGAGGCTCTAAGCCAGGAGTTGATTTCACCTCTGGCACTAGTATCCTCCGTGCGTGTTCTAGTGATGTTATAGCCTGGTTTGGGTTGGAAGGGACCTTAAAGCTCATCCGGGTCCAAGCCCCTGTGTCCAACCTGGCCTTGAACACTGCCAGGGATGGGGCAGCCACAGCTTCTCTGGGCACCCTGTGCCAGCGCCTCAGCACCCTCACAGGGAAGAGCTTCTGCCTAAGAGCTCATCTCAGTCTCCCCTCTGGCAGGTTAAAGCCATTCCCCTTGGCCTGGCCCTACCTCCCTTGTCCAAAGCTCCTCTCCAGCCTTTTCTCAGCCCCCTTATGATGCTTCTATGCAGATGTATCACCTGCATTTTGCGATACTTGGATCATTCAGCATGTTTATGCTTGGGTAAAGAAGCTGCTCTGTCAGAAATGTTCTTTTCCTGCTCTGAAGCCACAGTTCAGTATGAAAAGGATAAAGCAAAAGATGGGGAACCCAGTGGGAGGATAATTAGTACATTTAGCTAGAAAAATCTGGAGCAAGGAAAAAGAGGCCAGATAAATACATGTCTGGTGTCAGAGCCATGAGTTAGAATACGTTTCCCTGCTTGAAATGATTTGCCAGCCTAGGATTTCAAGCACAATAAAATCAAATCCTCATATACATCCAAACCCAGGTCAGGAAGGTGCCTCAGTGCAGGCCAATGTGTGTCATGGGCTCAGCTAAATGAAGATGAAGTGGTTTATGAGTCACCAGCGTGATTCAGGAGGTAGCGGAAGTACCGGCTATCAGGGACTGGAGCTGGAGAGGGGAGAAAAGCTGTTTCATAGAATAACTGCATCTCTGAGTGTGATCAGTGTTAACTCTTAATTTCTTCAGGGTTTATCCCAAGGATATTTGGGCTTTTTTGAGAATAAAGCTTAGCAATATTTCACAGGAAAATGAGCCTCATGTTTCTTGCTCTTGGCCACCACAAGTACTTTTTCACCCCATCCATCCATTCCAAAGCGATGCATGAAGGTGGCATTTGCCCTGTGGGGTTTTTTTGCCTCGTCTGATTTGTTCAATTGCACAAACATCATCAGTTCCCATGGAGGAGGCAGGAGGGGGTTCAGAAAGAGAAGAAAGGCAAAGTTTGGGCCTAACTCTGTCAGGAGAATCATCAGATGTAATAGTGGTTTGGAAACGTAATGAACTTTTGCTCTGCTTGAGCTTTCGGTCGCATGTGTCTGGCTGCTTTTAACCTGAAATTCCAGCTCGGAAAAACATGGAAGGATTAGCAGGTTTCCTTGGAACAATGACACATCCTTTGCCAGGAAAAGCATCAGCCTTTCCACTGACTTCAAGCTCCTGGCAGGAGCCTTCCTCACCATTCTTGCCATCTCTCCTCTCCCGGAGATCTCCACCGATGTGCGCTGTGTTTGAGATGACACCTCTTGAAGCTCCTGCTTGCCAAGGAGGCTGGGTCATCGCCGTCTGCCCCATCACATCCCTCCAGGAGCTCTTCATCCCACTTGGAACGCTGTGCCAGATGCTGCCAGTTGTGGGATGTCACAGCGGGGTGGGTTGTGGCTTCAAGTGAAAGGAGTGGGTCTGTGTTAGCTGGCTTTATAGCAAACTTCTAATGATATTAATATTAGGAAGCATTACAGTTTCATAGAATCATAGAATGGTTTGGGTTGGAAAGGACCTTAAGATCATCCACTTCCAACCCCCTAACATGCTCCAAGCTCCATCCAACCTGGCCTTGAACGCTGCCAGGGATGGGGCAGCCACAGCTTCTCTGGGCACCCTGTGCCAGCGCCTCAGCACCCTCACAGGGAAGAACTTCTTCCTTATATCCAACCTAGATCTCCCCTGTTTCAGTTTGAACCCATCACCCCTTGTTCTATCACTACAGTCCTGATGAAAAGTCCTTCTCTGTCATCCTCGTAGGATTCCTTGTAGGATTCATCCTTGTAGGTTTCTCTTCATCTGTAAAGAGGAGTTGTATTCATTTTATGTACCTGATTACTTTGATTTGCCATGGAATACGTGTTTCACAGGAGAACATGCATTTGCACTGCTCAGATACGTGTGTGCAAGTGAAATCCATGTGTTCCTGACTGTTGGAAGCAGAAGCTGAAATAAGTAAGGTTCCGAGATGAATTAAATCTACCCCTCTCCAGTCTTTCACATATTGTCCTGTCATCAGGAGGACTGGATGATGGAGTTAACATCACTCAGCAAACAAGGAACCAAAAGCCAAAGCTATTTAAATGAACTTATTTGGCATCTAGGATCAGAGGCAGAGCAAGGAGGAGCAGACACAGCCCCACTGACATTGCCATGCAGAGCCGGCTCTTACTCGGTAAGGATTTGGCACTTCAATTTAGTAGCCAGCAATCCTGGTGTTGGCAATGGATTTCTGTAGTGCTTTTCCTTGAAGTGATGCTTCGGAGCTTCTGCAGTTTCTAAGAGGAGCACACAAGGACGTGACTCTGGTTTAAAGCCTGTGGTCGCCCTGACAAGTGAAGGACCTGCCTCTGCTCAGATTAAAGCCCTCTCCCCAGTCACCGGCCCTTGCTTTCTGGCTCTGTGTGGGGAACGTGGAAGGTGCCATGTGGCTCCCAGACAGGTTCACAGTGGCCTCGTGGGGCTCCAGACAAACAAATGTGTCTTTAAAACACACGCTGCTTTGCTCCAAGCACAGATCTGCCAAGGGTTGATGCGAGGAGTGTTCTTGGAGGGCGAGCAGAAGGGAGCTTCCAAAGCCGCTGTGGAGAGGAGGGATGAGAGTGAGTTTTGGTCTTGTTAGCCCCAGTTCTGGAAGGTAAATGCACAGCATCACTGCACCTTGTAAAACTGCTTTGGAATAAGCCTTCTGAATGTGCTAATATCATAACTTACCCTGCTGTTCACTCTGGTGCTGTTTAGCTCCACAAGAGGAATAAGCAGTAAATCATCCTCTGCGGGAGCCTCCTGTAATCACTGTCTTTATCTGCTGGCTTACCAGAGATGAGCTGCTTGTTCTCAGACTTGGAACCTTCTCCTGCCTCTGTGTGTGCCCAATAGTCTGGTGAGCTCTGCTCTGTGTGGCAAAATTGTGTGTGAGCAAGGTACGTTTTGCTTTTCACCCTTCCTGGTGATACCAGGAGGTCCCGATTGCTGCTTCCTCCTGCTCTCAATGCCGTTGTTTCTATTGGGTTTGTTCTAGTTACTCATCCTTTGGCAGATTGTTGTAGTAGGGACTACAGCTCTTACTAGCCAGCTGCACAGAGCAGCATAGTGTGAATGTGCTGGTAGAGGGAAAATGGGCTGTCTGCTCCAGGATTTAATGCACTCACCAGGTCCTTGTGGATGTGTGCAGGAAGGCAGAAAGGAGGGGACTCACAACGATAGCTTCACATAACATTCCCAGCCCTCTGTGCTCTTCAGGCACCTGTTAAACCTCATAGGAACATGTGTAGGGCTTTCTTGGTGTATCAGGAAATGCTTCCACTGAAAAGTTTAGGGTACCATACACCTGATTGATGGAGTCGGCCCTATCTGCCTGTGCTAGCTAAGCAGAGCATTCCAGTAACAAATGTACCTCCCGAACCTAACACATCCTGTCGTGCTCAAGAAGTTCCACATGTTTTGCATGTGAAAAACGAACATTTTGGGTTCTATATCAAGCCACATCTATCTGAAGGATGCAGTTTAACCCTTTGCTCAGTCGCCATAGATGCCATTCACGGCTTGTTTCATCTGTCTCACGTTTCTGCTTCCATTTGCTGGGGTTTTTTTGCTCTTGGCCAATTTTCCAGAGTTCAGCTTTTCCAAAAAGTCTCTTGTTCCAAAAGACCTTTGTGGAAAAAGGCCCAGACTCTTCCTCAGTGCTTTCTGCTTTTAAGCTGGCATCGCTTGTGCTTAACAAGCTGCTGTCACTGCAATTTAATGTCTATCACACAAGGAATAAAGGTGGCTGTGATGGCTGTGTGAGTGCTGAGAGGTTGAGATCTTCATCCTGCTCTGTGTGTAATGGAGGTTTTCATATATATATATAGTTTTTAGTACCTGGGTCTCTGTGCTGGGTTATGATCTCTTTCATAAAACAACTTTTTGGAAGACGTTTCCTTTTATTATTGGCTTTGCAAAGTCTTAATTTGCTTCTGATCACTTTTAATGGTGGCTTTTCAGAGAAGATGGTGAAATACAAGCAATTGTACGTATAGGATGTTAAACTGGTAGGAGCAGCAGGACTAGTAGTAGTACCCTAGTCAAGGCACTTGTACATTGAGTACATGTAAGGACCGAGGTGGCTAAATCCCTCCTCCCTGCTCTGAAATGAAAGCACATCCTGATGCTGTATTTAATGACTCTGTATGTGGTGAATGGTGCCATAAAGCTCTCTGTTGTGGTAAATTGCTTGACGAGGCTGAAATGAGATCTGGTTTGTTACCTAATGTCTGCTGAACAGATTGAATAGAAAATGAATAAAATTGGGGGGGAAATCACTGTTATCTGATACATGAATATTTATGGAGATATGTCAGTGAACAATTGATTTTGCAGACTTCTGAGCTTTAATCCCTGGCTTTTTTGCCTTCCTAGGCTGGTTTTATTCTTGACCCACCGTTTCAGTTTTAAGCTGTCAGGTGAGATGCCCAAATCCAATGGCATTCCAGCACAAGCCATAAAGGCTCGATGGTTGCTCTCTGACAGCTCCAGACACACAAACACATCCCAATTCCCTACTCAGCATGTCTCGGAGCAAGTTGATGTGAACGTTGTGCTCCGTGCATGATTACATGCCTGGCTTAGCCCTGCTCACTGACCTGGTCTTTCTCTCTTTCTCCACCCCATCCATCCCTTCTCCCTTGGTGTAGCTTTCGCTCCCAGAGGAACAGAATGAAGTAACAAGAAATGGCTGTGAATCCAAGGAACTGGTCTACCTTGTACAGATCTCTTGTCAGGTAAATGCTGTGTTTTCTAGCCCCACTTTGTTTTACAGTATGTTTGGCAGCACAACGTTTTGATGGGACACTTCTCGGTGGCGGGGATGGGGGGTTCTGCTTCTCACTTTGGGTCCTCCAAAGGATGCTCTCTGTGGGACTGCAGGGAGCTTATTGTAAGCAAAGGACCATCAAGGGGAGAAAAAGGAGTCTGTAAGCAAAGAATCCTTGTTCCAGTGCGTGCAGAGGTGCTGGATGAGCAGCCTAGAGATGCAGAGCTGCTCCACTGAGTAGTCTAGAGATACTGGCTGTTGAATTAAATTGTTGTTTGCATGAGGCATTGCATGGATGGATTCAGCTAAGTGTAATGCCTGTCTTTGTTCCTCTTGGCGTAGCAGTTCTTTCTGTGATTCATGTCAGCCCTTCTTGAGCATCCCTCTTAGCAGTTTATGCTGAACATCACTGCAGTGTCTGTCGTTTTAGAGCTCTTTAGGTGATCCTGCTGGCATTTCTCAGGTACCAAAAGGAAGTATACGGACAAGGCACGCCTCTGCTGCCTACACGTGAATTGCTGAGGTAGGAAAGTATGGTTCTGTTGGATATTGGATTGTACATTAGTACACACTGAGACAGGTAGTGAGTTCACAGTGTACTTGCTCCTCTCCTCTAACTCTGTGTGCACACTGGTGTAGGGTGTTTGGGGAGAGCTGAGGAGCAAAGCATCCTGCTTCGTTGTGAAGGTGGAGCTTGGCAAAAGCTGCACTACAACAGTGTAGTTGGTGTGATAGAAACACACAGAATGGTTCTTCTCTGTTGTCCTGCTCTCTCAGGTGCTTTGCAGGGATGTGTCTGAGAGCACAGTGCATTTTCTGTGGGGACAGCGTGGGGAATTCTCTGCCTTGGCTAAGGAAGATGGTCCAATAGATCCAGAAGCTGTGAACAACAGAATCATGGAATGGTTTGGGTTGGAAGAGACCTTAAAGTCCCAACCCCATGCCACAGGCAGGGACACCTTCCACTAGAGCAGCTTGCTCCAAGCCCTGAATGTTCAGCCTGGCCTTAAATATTCCAGGGATGGAAGCACTTCCATGTCCAGCTGCTGACAAGTTCTGGTACCTTCTGTTTTCCTGTTTTCTATTCTCTTTTAAGTAATCCTCCCAGCTCACTGGAATTCCTCCCTACCCCAGCCATTGATTCACCTTGTGTGTGTTAGTCCATGCCCTTGTCTCTCGGATACTTACAAAGCTGGGAAACTTGTGGTATCTGGATTCAAGGAGTGGAAAGGCATGGAATGAACTGCACAGCTGAGCATCATTCCTACCATGGCGATACTTCACCCCTGACATCTCACGGCCTCTCCTAATGTCCAGGGAAAGATTCCATTCCATCACACATTGGACACTGCCGGTGTCTGGATGGGTTTGGCTCCGCATTAGAATGGAATGGGAGGTGTGAAATAGCTCATGGAATGATAGTGCAATGGGGGAGAGATTTTGGCAGGATGCATTTGGATAACGCCAGAAGTATTGCAGGAGGGAGCAAAAAGGCCTATACAACAAGGTTTACTTTGCTCACCCTTTGGATGTGCTGCTACCAGTGGTACTGCAGCACAGGCAGAAACCTTGTCACTTCTCAGATGGACACAGAGAAAACCAATTCTGTTGATGAAGGCTAAGCCCATGTACATTTAAAAGCCTTAAGATACTTGGGGTTCGCTGCATAAACAGACAGCATGGGGAAGAGGAAGGGCATTTGGCCATCCTGGCCATTTTAGATTACAGACCTTAGAGAAATACCCCAAAGCCCTTAGTTTTGGGGTTGAACTTAATGCTCCTGCTGAGCCTTGCACAGTTTGGACTGGGCAGCCCCAGTCTGTGTGTTGTGTGGTCCATTAAAAGACATTGATTTTATCCTCTCACTCTGTAGCAGGCAACAAACCAAAGCTTGTGAACATTAGACCTTTAAAACCTCCAGTTCAGCCTTAGCTGTGTTTGGCACACTACACTAAGGAAACTCAATCCCACTCTTTCCCATCTGTAAGTATGATTTTAGTGGTGTAAAGAGAATTATTGTCTCGCAAAACCCTCCCAGATAAGGGTTGAAACAAGTCTTGAGGGGAATTATGTTTGTGACACAGTCCTGCTGCCCCTCAGCTTGTGAAATACAAGCATTGTGTGAGGTTCAGAGGGGGGGGTCAAGTCTCTATTCAGCTTTTCTGCTGCTTAGAGACCTCAAAACAATAATCCAGTTTAGTAGCTGTTAAGAAGAAGTGGGAATATTGAGAGGTTGATATTATTAAACTAAATCTAACCAAAATCCCTTTCTATGATAAAAGAAGAGATGGAGGGAGGAAGGGAGGAAAAGATTGAGGGATGGATGGATGGATGGATGGATGGATGGATGGATGGATGGATGGATGGATGGATGGGCGGGCCTCTTGGTGTGAGTAATTGCAAGTCTTAACAATAACCCTGGTCCTTAAAGGACTCCAGGGAATGCTGAGACCTTGGTGAACCTGTGCTGTCTTGCAGGCTGGGAAGGACCGTGAGCAGTGTTTGCAGTCCTTGCAGAGTTCCACAGGGATACACAAAGAATTTACAAGCTCTGCAAGACATTTAAAGGGGTAATTCTGTGCCTTGAGAAGAAACGAAGCCTGCAAAAAGGTTGAACTAGGCTAAGCCGTGGAGTTTTGTCAAGTCCTAAAGCAGGCTGTGAAAAGAGACCTTTTCAGTGGTTCTGGACCTGTTTGAGTGGCAGTACAGCAGCTCGCAGCCCAGAAAGCCAACCCTATCCTGGGCTGCATCAAAAGGAGCGTGACCAGCAGGTCGAAGGAGGTGATCCTGCCCCTCTGCTCTGCTCTCGTGAGACCTCACCTGGAGTATTGTGTGCAGTTCTGGTGTCCTCAACATGGAACTGTTGGAACAAGTCCAGAGGAGGCCACGAGGATGATCAGGGGCTGGAGCACCTCCTGTATGGAGCCAGGCTGAGAAAGTTGGGGCTGTTCAGCCTGGAGAAGAGAAGCTGCGTGGAGACCTCATAGCAGCTTCCAGTATCTGAAGGGGGCCTGTAGGGATGCTGGGGAGGGACTCTTCATTAGGGTCTGTAGTGACAGGACAAGGGGTAACGGGTTCAAACTGAAACAGGGGAAGTTTAGATTGGATACAAGGAAGAAATTCTTTCCTGTGAGGGTGTTGAGGCACTGGAATGGGTTGCCCAGGGAGGTTGGGAATGTTCCATCCCTGGCAGTGTCCAAGGCCAGGTTGGACAGAGCCTTGGGTGATATGGTTTAGTGTGAGGTGTCCCTGCCCATGGCAGGGGGGTCGGAACTGAATGATCTTAAAGTCCTTTCCAACCCTAACTATTCTATGATTCTATATTTAAATATCCCAACATAAGAATGGCCATTCTGAGCTGTTGTTGTGAAAAATACGCATTTGAACACTTCAGACATCATTTTGTGGTGATGTTTTGAATGGGAAGGAGAGAACAAGAGATGGATTGTGAAACTGTTCTAAGGGAGACCTTGAACTCATCTCCTGGGGGTTTTCTTGTTCATTTTCAGCATCACAGGTAGATTGTTGGAACAGGAGTGACAGACTGCAAGCGTGGCTGATGCTTGGCACAATAAGAGAAAGGTTTGGGTTCGAAGGGATCTTAAAGCTCATCCAGTTCCAACCCCTTGCCACGGGCAGGGACACTTTCCACTAGAGCAGCTTGCTCCAAGCCCCTGTGTCCAACCTGGCCTTGAACACTGCCAGGGATGGGGCAGCCACAGCTTCTCTGGGCACCCTGTGCCATCACCCTCATAGTGAAGAGCTTCCTCCTGATATCTAATCTAAATCTTAGGGCTAGATCTCATGCCAGACCTTTAAACCCAGACTGCCTGTTGTGCTCTGGGAACCGAGCTACAGCACCTCCTCTGCTTCCTGCTGTTCAGGGGATAACATCGGTGTCCTCCAAAGGAAGCCCCCTCCTGCTGCAGCTCTGGGAGCATTCTGAGGCTGTTCTCATGGGCCCAAGGGTGGGTTTTCTCTCTTCTGCTGCTCCCCTTTGCAGACCCCCCCACTGGCAGCAAGAGGAGCTGCGTGGCTTCGTTGTGCAGGATGCCCTGTTCCTGCTTTTTGTTCCAGGCAGCCACTGCTGCCCGTGCTGTGTTCATTTTGATTGATAGAATAAGGTCTCCTATGCACTACATGAAGGCTTTTATGCAGCTCTGTGCCACTTGTATCTCCCAGCTGTGCCTTGCAGGAGATTCAAGCTCAGTATCTTCTGTCTGAAGAACAGCATTTGCAAACCTCTGAAGGCACCCTCATCCAGCGTTCCGTGGCTGGAAGCGTGGTTGCAATCATAAGTGCTTCAAGGGCAGCAAAGAGAATGCCAGGAAAAAGTGGGATCCAACAAGGAAGAACAGACAGGACTCCCTATCCTGAGTGGTTTGTGGGGAGAGGAGAGTGGGATCTGTTTGCACAGAAGCAAATGTCTTACTCAGGCTACTGACATCTAAAGTATGGTTCTCTCTGCCTCTCATGGTCCCTGCTAGAAACCACAAATTGCTTGCAGTAGGATTCAAAAGCCCTTTTGTGTGCGTGGTTTTTGTCTTGAAGGCTTGTTCTGTAGCATGTTGATGGTTTCATCTCGTGTGATTGGAGTTCAGACACCTAGGGAACAGTTACTGAGTAGGTGCTGCTGACATACCTCTTATTGAAAGCCACAGGCCTTTAAACAGGTGACTCGATGGGACTTGTCCTTCATTCCCAACCATGGAGTAGACTCAGCATTCCTGAGTGTAAATCCATCCCCTGGTGACGACTGAGCAGGAATCTTAACCTTCAGTATTCAGATTCTCCATGCATGGCTCTCTCTGAGGTTTTTCCTCTATTTACATATGGAGTGGGGAGGGAATGGTTCTTTCTTGTTCCTGACTCTGGCTGCTTGAGCTGCAGTGCCAGGGTTCTAGCTGTGCTGCGTGGATTTTGAGTGGGATGATTTCCTTATTGAGTGACACCATAGGGATAAACACC